TTTTGGAAAAAGGATTGATATAGAGCATTGACTTACGTGATAAGATGCGCATTGAAATCAATACTCAAGCATAGTTTCTCCGTGTACACATTATAAAGGACTTTTTGTTACAATGGCACAAAGATCTGGAATAGAATATCATCTTTACTTTCTTCTAATTCTCTCAAGACTAACATTATATCCACTTTTTGTGCAAAGGATGAGCGTAGTTGCATCGTGTGTGTGTGGTTTTTTGTTGTTGTTTTTTGTTGTTGTGTTTTTATGTTGTGTTGTTTTTTCTTTCATTGTTGCCTTTGATGAAGTATGGTTGCATTTAAAGAAGAAGTATAGCATTGCTTCAGTGACTTAGTTATGAAACTCGTTTTCCGACAATTTCCATGGATAAAAATTTATTTTTAAAAACCAAACCAGCACTCCCACCGCTTATACTAACATGTCTCGTCCCAGAACGTCATTTTTCAAAGGTGTTCAGCCCCGTTAAGAGCTTTTTCATCTTTCACATTTTGTCATGTATTTTTGTCATGCTCTTTCGTACAAGATACTTCATTTATTCACTAAATAACTATGCATACACAATAACAATATACTTCTAAGTTAACCATGTATTAACATGTATACATTTAGTGTTAGATAGTGGCACCTTGTGCGCATAATAAATCAGAGATTAAACCAATAACGTTTTTCGAGTTTAACAATCAAACTGTGAAACAAAAAGCTTAATCTATACATATATGCAAAAACAAGATATGTTTGTAAAACATGTATGTTCCCTATCACCAGCCAATTAGTCATGTGGTTAAGATTATTGTGACTGACTTATGACCTTGTGACCAAAATCAGTAGGGGTTATCTACTAGCCATGACTACATGTAGTCACTCTGTAACGGTTGTGTGCAGCAATTTATTGAGAAAGTTATCACAAGTATTTTCAAATAATATACCGGGTAAGTATTTATTTCTGCGGGCTTAATACTACCATAAATTAATCGCGATTTTTAGAGTTAAAATAAGGGGTTTTTAATGTGTAATATAATCTGATGCACACACACACACACACCGGTGCTACATATCTCTGGAATTGAACCCGCGTTTTAATTTTATTCAGACGTTTTAAAGTATTAGTTACTATTTGGATATATCTCTTAAAAACCAACCAAAAAACAGAATAAGATTACAATGACGCAAAATTAAATAAATGGACAAAGTGCGAATGCATCGCAATTTATTGAAGTCAATGTAGGTCCTCCTTAACTGACTGGCAAACAATGCTTTGTATATTTAACAAACATAAGACATTGAAATTATGAGGGAATACCGAAAATTAATTTTAGTTTATATACAACAAATATTCAACAACAACCAAGGCAACTTGTAGGCACTTAGAATTTACTAACAAACAATCATCACCTGGACATTTTTAATAGTCATAAGGTTTACCATACAACTTATTTAATCTTCAATACAGAACGGCTAAGGAGTAACGACCACTAATTATTAAATCAACTAAACGGTTAGTATATATAAACTTTATAGGCATCATTGAAATTGGACAAGGTAGGAAAAAAGCCATCATTTAATCCTAATTCCTCCGTTACATAATTATTAATTTGACATGTGTTTATTAAAACATATAATATTCTGTAACTTAACATATTTGAACTATGCACTGTCAAACATTTTGTTCTTTTAGAAAATAATATGTACTCTTTCTTTAGTGGTACAATCAGTATATTTATAAAAATTTCCGATGGGTTTTAACATAAGAAAAAATCATTGCATTGCATCATTACTTGGTATCATCAATTTACATTTTTGTAAGAAAAAATTTTTACTATTATATTTTCGGCAAATTTTACTGTGGAAATTTTCAAATGGCACAAACCAAAAATATGTGCAGATACCCGAATTTTGGTTCTTCTTGAATCCTAAACAACAAAAATAACCACAAATAATTCTTAAGAAATACATACCAGAATGTCGTTTTGTGTCTTGGAAATGACAAATAAAACTGCATGACACTCATAAAATAGCCGTCCAACTTTATTTGTCATCCAGAGTGTAATATCGCGTATCTTTTCTTTTGCGGTAATGCATTATGTGAGAAATAGTTTGATTTTCCAATAGAAAGTCTAATTCTTAGCATAAGTCGATAAACAGCTAAGCACTTATCCATCAAATAAGTTAATGTTGTACATAATAAAAATGTTTTAACTATGTCGTATCCTCACATTAATAAGGTAATAAAATTGTCAACAAATTTGTGCTGAATCATTAAACATAACCTAGAAGTCGATTTGTAAAAAATATAGTCATCAAAATTTTGCATTGAATGGTTGCACATCATTCAAAACAATTGAAAAAATATCCAGCGTGTTCCTCATGGCCGCTTTTTAAAGGTATAAATATATAGAATTAAGTCAAACAAATGACGTCAACAAAGGGCCAACCTATATTATCTTTTTTTATTTATGGATAAAAAGGATATAGTACATGCAAGAGTATTCATGATTTAAATTTCACTGTCTCTGGTGTGGTGCGATCAAAAGAATAACTGCACGTGTTAAAGTAAACACCAAACAAAATTTATTGTTGCTTAAAAAGGCTTTGTAAACTAATATAATCGAGGGAGAAAACATAACAGTCATATATAAATAGTAGTCACCTTCCCCCTAACCAGTGTTTATTGGCAGTTTAGCACCGGGTTTTTTCCTTCTTGTGTGTATAATGACAAAAATCACGAAGAGTGTTAAAATTCATGTTTAATGTTAATTTATATACTAGTAACCAAAAGTGCGGTTGATATGATATGCCCTATACATTTATGGGCACTTTAGTAGTTTGTTAATGCTATATAAACTTCCGTAAAAACAGTTATATGGACTGGAAAAAATGCAATATATAATAAATGTTAGGAAATAAACTAATTGTATATACAACGTTGAGAAAACCTTTTAAAGTGTGAGTATCGTTGTCCATTTATTTGTTTTTTTGGAGGTGTTTAGTTGTTCTTTTTTTCAAGGGCACTACCTTATTTTTAAATCACGCACAAATTGTTATGAACATGACTTTAATTACTAATCAAAAGGTTGCAATATTTTTAAGTTAGTCTTTAAAAACAGAAGATTCTTAAAATTATGAAGAAAAAAGGAAGTGTTGTAGTGGTTAACAATGTTGCAAACTAGAATTGCGGAAAAAATTGTCTTCCACAGTATGGATACTAATGTAAGACAATAAAACATCGTTTCCAAGTATAAAAATAAAGCTTGTAACAAATTGTAAATTTGGTGATTCAGAGACCGCTTTCACAGATATTGGGGAGTGTTCTTTCACGTTAACAGGAATGACGAGCCTGCGATTCTAATAATATACTTGTATACTTTTTTCTCACAAAGCATTTTGTATAACTCAAAAACAAAAATTCACTCCTTGTTTTTTGAGATTGGATTCAATAAACACACTTCAAACGAAATACCGTTAATTAGCTGTTATATATATTATGTTTACAAACTTTGTCTTTTGAAATTAAACCTTCAAAAAAGATAATTTATTTATCAAAGGTTCAGTTGTTGAAATGTCGCAGAACCAATGTCTCTCTTGCACTACAAATTCTGAATAACACTTATCATTTCTACTGATACATATAAGTTAAATACTTATTAAAATTTGTTCAATACATAAAGAAAATAAATAATCGGATAAAATAAGAAATTATAATATTAAGATATAATTCTAAAAATATAACTATATTCTACGTAAGACTTTAACACTATATTCCGTTGTAACAGGACTACATTTTAATACCGTCGACATATAAACGTAATTCACAGGATTACTTAGAAAAGCACTATCATACAACGTCAACCACTTAAATTTAAAACGTTGCTCATAAGTCCAGTCCAAGATTTTCTGTTCCAAATAATTTCTCAGAAACAGTTAACTATGCATATCCGATGAATGCCAGCAAGATTGCTTTTTCAAGCCAACACAGCTGCAGATCGTCCATCAGCCCCAAATGGTCAATATTTCTCATTAACCGGTACAGTGTATTGGAAGTAGTATTGGAGATACTGCCAGGAGATATTAAAGGGGGCAAGTTAGGGTATAATGACCTACTTGTGAAATTCAATTTGAGTGTAATTGGGATCCATGCAAATAAATTATGGTCCATCAACCGATTGATCAATAGGGTGGTTTAGGTTATGTGTGTATAGATTTGGTTAAATCAGAAAAAGGGATATGCAACAACAAATGACAGCTCATTTTAGGTGAATAGCTTTGTTATCAAGGTTTAACCAATAATAGCTCTAAAACATGCTTTAAAAGAATAAACTAAATGATTGTACTTTGCTGAGATTAATGCTTAAATTTGCCTTTATATAACACAGGTACATGGGTGTTAAAACGTAACAGCCGAGACGTCAATGCAGGAAATAACGCCCACCGGATTAATATTGGTTTGCGGATAGGGTTTGGTCCTCCATATTGGGTCACAGAAGACCCTTCGATCGGCGAAACCCTGTACAACAAATCAAATCTGCACTGTCATTTCTGCTCGAGCTAAACCAGATGCAGGTCCAAAGTAATAAGATGAGAACTAACCAAAGAATTTGATAGATGGGTTTAACTCGGCTAGACCTCGAGAATATGTTTTTTTACGCGTGAACAACTCTATACACAACCCAAAATAGATATTCAGAAACCAAATAGTCTAGTGCGCTTTACTGGCGACCAACGAAAACGACAAAATAACATAATGCGGAGAATTTTTCTCCCAGACCAGGACCATTTGTTCGGGATACCTGAGGTTTTGATCTTCGCACAATTGAGCAAGGAAGATCCTCCAAACGTGTATAAAAACGACGTCGAATCAGACAATTGTCTTTTAACGGATATCGGTGCTTTTTTTTAAAGATTATAAATTTATATAAAGAAAGAACAATAGCCCCCATACAATAGACCAGACAATGCTAATGCAGTCCTGGAATCAGCGAAAGTACCAATCATTTTGGCTTTGGGATAACCAGATTGGCGTTAGGTGCTATTGATTCCTCGGCTACAAGTAGGAATTGTTTGATGAAAATCATAAAACCTGAATCATGTGAACAAACAACTAGAGAACAAACCCGATATCTGAATCAATACAATCACAGTACAAATGAAGGTGTGGTCGTCAAGGAGAATATAAGACGTCTGTTTGGTTAGAAAATTTATATCGGTCCTGGAATCCCTGCACTTTATATAGGTCTGCGAGAAAAAACTAATCAGGTTACAACCTAAATCTATTTTTTGTAATTGTTGGCCTCTAGAAATGATGTTTCTTTTTGGTTTTACATGAAACATACGTCTAGACACCTGTTGCAGTACTTGCCAATTAATTGAAGAAAATATCCGTCAACAATGTACGAACAACAATACACGCGGAACATTTCCACGGATACAGTGCATGTTGTTGGGATAGCTAGGGTGTTCCAGTTATCATGACCATCGCAGTTTGTGGCGAGTTGATAGAAGACCTTTCAATAGGCCAATGCAAATAAATACCATTTGATCCTCGAAAACGAGCCCTTCATAGAACCATAGGAAAACTACCCAGACAAATGGTTGTTAACGCTTGGCTCGAGAATATCTTTTAACTTTAAAGTGACATTATTGCTCCATATTTTTATAGTCCATATACAAGGGTTGAGCTGATGAATTGATCGTTTTTATAAACAATTTCAAAGAGTTTGACTGAGTCAACCAATGGTGTTTTGAAACCAAAATCAGTTGATATTATGGAGACAACGATTTAGGATAAAAATTAACCAGGGTTAATCTAGCCTAAAATTATAAAAAGACTGCCCCACCTTTTTTATAAACTGAGTGTAGAGGTAAATTCTAAAGATATCTACCCCATGTAAATTTTATTTGGATCCCTAATCTATTATTTATATATGTTTACCGCGGAGTAAATCATTAATTCAAAAAGGAAATTATGAAGGGCAAATGAGTATACTTATTTTGATATTCACTACTGGAAAATTAAAGTTGGAATTGTTCTTACTCACTAAATTACCTTGAGCGATGGGCATAAGATGTCTACTTTACCTTGAAAATAAAGCACTTTAATATACCGACAGAACAGCCAAGAGCGAATAAAATCACTAAGACAAAAATGGAGGAAAAAATAACTTATCAGGAGACACAGGGAGAAGCAATCACTATGTTTGCGAGAGATTAGGAACTTTGGTTCATCATTAGAATGAAATTGTGGTGGATTATGAAGGTATTTTTTCTCCTTCCCAAACTAGTAAATAAATTGAATCTGTCAGTATGAATCATTTCAAGAAATCAAGAGGGTTTAACGTGTTGGTAATGCTTAATCTGAGAAATATTGTCTTTAAAGATAAATAATTACGATATATGTCTTTTCTTATTCGACAAATTCGCCGACGCAAAACTAACGGACCTGCCACGGCGGGCAAATATTCTCTCGCAAGACACCAAAAATCTATTACATGTATACCGTAGGCATAATATATAAGTTGCCCAGTTCTGTAGATACTTTGGTCCATATCAAAGTTTAGATGATGTTGGGGATGATTAAACAAATAGAGAAGTAACTCTAAAACGTTTGTACAATAAAATCGAATATCCCGCAAACAGAGAGAGAGGGAAGTCACCCAAAACAAATAGTAATATCTAACACGAATATTGTTCACTATACAACAACCATATATTGTGTTTACAAAACAACCAACGTCTGGCTTCGCTGGAATTATAACTCAGTATATTTCACTTTGATATTAGAACCAAAAATATTTCCGCTTTGGGCGCTTATATCATGTAAAGTAAACCATAAAAAATCTAAATGCAAAACGAAATTTGTTACAGAATCAGACATATAGATTGTTTTTTATGAAATTTCTTTAACTTATTCACATTAAATAGATCCAAAAAATTCGATCATTTCAACACGTGCTCTCTTACAATCATTTCTTGCGTTTAGTTCTGTGAGCCTTATTCTGTGAGCCTTTTTGCACTTCATATAGTGCAATTTGAAGTCACTAGGCCCATAAAATGTATTTAGCAGTTTCCGTTTATTTCAATAAAAATAACAATTAGATTCTTACAAAAAATGTATGTATATTTTCTTGTATAATTCCCTGTTTTAATTATAGGGAATTTGAAGTCTCTAAATGATTGGGGATTTAATGTAAAAATATAGTTTAAATATTAAAACATATTTCTTTTTAATTTCAATGAATTTTACTCGATTTTGGTACTTTGATACTTAATTGTTATAATCTAGTAAATATAATAGTGTATAAAAGTTTTTAACTTGATGTTGATAAGTGCATACACCAACTGGGAGGAAAATACAAATATATTGATATTTAATATGATTCTATTCTTTTAAATAATCTGGTAATGAATATAAAAACTGTGAAATACTAATCGACAAATTCAGTCATTTTTGGGGTCATATTATAACCAGATTAGTTGTTTTTGATCTTCAACGTAATTGTTCGTTTAGTTAAAGTAATGAATTTGAGCCAATGAATAGTTTTTTAATAAATCAAGAATTAATATGCTTAATTGGCCTAATTTGTCAATTTTTTTCATCATAACTTCTCTACCCTATTCAAACTGAAAAAAATAAATAATATATTTTCAATTCTGAAAATAAATATTTATATATAATCCGGTGGTATGTATGCAAATGTTGGAATCTATTAAGTATTGATGAAGTGGTTGAAAAATAGCCTGTGGGGCAACTAGAATACTTATAAAGCTTAATTACCGTTGAGTAGCCATCAGTATTTTTTTTATCTCTTATCTTTAATATTTAGCGTATACATATGATTCATATTTTTTATGACTGTGAGATAAAAATGCAAAAACTAAATTTCATTTTTCTTTTTCTTTTTGTTCTACTTGAAATGAAATTTATTGGCACCAAATCAAAGGAGTACGTGAAGTTGCCACCACTATGTCTACTTAATATTCCTGCATATATTATAACCTTGGAGCCCTCTTGCAGCAGGAACTAATAAAACACTAACTACGAAAAGCATGAATGACTTTTGACACTTTAAGTCATCTTAATGTTTCTTCGTTATTGTATGATGATTTGGAATTAATCATAAAACACATCAAACAAAAACAAACAGATTTGCATAATAGTGAAAAACAAGTTGCCAAAGGTTTATAATCATGTATTATATATATATTATCTTCTGAATGTGTTAAAACTGACGAGGTAAATTTGTTAAATCTATAATAGAATAAATAGATATTTCCCAGTTCAGAAATTATAAGATGTTGCCAAAATTTTAATGGCGAATCAAGAAATGTGAACTAAATATTGCTTCTTATGGTATATTAACTTCCTAGAATACAGTTTTAACTACTGATTATTTGCGATTTTAAATCGGATAGGTTTTTAATAAATCAAATTGGGCAATCTCCACGTTTATCAGAAGACAATATTATCTAATATGCATTATGGCCGTATGATTATTATTTTATATTCTGATTAACAAAAATAGGTAGTTCATAAATTAATGTCATGTTATACCATGTATAAATTGTGAAAAAAAACTGTGGAATTTCAAATAAATAATGTTTGCCAATACTTAATTAATCTGCATATTTACTTCAATGGAGGTGCGTTCTTACTCAGTCAGTCTGACTCGATAATAATGAAAACGACCGGCGCTACTAAAGAGAAATATGTTATTTATGTTTAATATATTGAAATCGTGAATAAGTTAATCAAATTATATTTATTTCATGAGAAATTTATTAAATAATTATTTCACTTAATATTATTTTATCTTCACAAAGAATTTGGCAAGTCAAATTTAATAACGGTTGAATACTAAATTATCCACAGTATATGGATTTGTTTTAGAATCAAATGTATATAATTCTCTTTCAAATAAATTGAACATGAGGATATTGCTCCGAAGAAATAATATTTTAACTTAAGAATACATCTTCTTATTTCTGATTTTTTTGAGCTATATTTCCGCAAAGTTGTTCACGTTATTATTTTCAAACTAAATCAAGTTTGGGCATAATTATCTAACCATATTTCCGAGATGTTGCTTCATTTGTACACTAGAGCAAAATTTAAATTATTTATAGGCAATATTCTTAAATATTCATTTAAATATAGTATATATTAATCAAGGTTTTGAAATATTTCATACTATCTCTCACAAAAGGACAAAATTGCCGAAGTATGTGCTATCAAATATTTGCATTTTGTTTCATCTCTCTTCGAGGTATTTTTCAAACTGATCATATTTAATAGCGTTTCCAAGCTATGACTGACTGTAAAATAATCAAATATTTCATTCAAAACGTTCAACCAATACATTTTGATTAATAAATAATTGCAAACAAGAATTAAAATCCGAAACAAAATAATCAGTTGCCAATAAAACCGAGAAAGGTTTTCACACTCGGACCGAATTAACACATATTGGCGGTATGATTTCCGTAAAGTATGCAAATAGATCCACCTTTTTCTCTACGTAATTACAGATAAACTGATATTGCGTTTATATGCTTACACAAATTCATAAAATACGTCTCGTGTTGATACATACACAAAAATGAATAAACTCCAGCAATATCAAAAAAGTTATAAATCTGTTAAGGGGAATATGCATGCCAATATTTGTCAATATTTGCTTATATGAATATTGTTAACTCGGTGAATTCATTGGGCAGCTAGGTTAATATTTTATTTATTGTTATATCATTAGTTGCTTAGTGAGCGACTGTAAAAGCAAATTCCTTGAATGTTAGGTTACCCGGAGCAGAAAGTGGCCTGTTTACCCGAGCCCATAGAACTAATTGGGAGTCTAAGAAGAAAACTTATTGTGGAATTGTGACATGAAAATCTGACGGTGGCCGCGAGCCTGACGGTCTTAATGTAAGTATAACTAATTAAAACTTGTTCAGTGCGAATAATCGTTAAACACATTAAAGTATAAAGTTCACGTCCTTCGGCCGCATCGCTTGAAAGTTTTTAAATTCATATGCCTACGAAGAACTGTGGCTAAACCTTGAAATATATTAACATAGTTTGTTTTT